GAATTCAAATCATCAACTCAGAAAAGTAGAGACAATTATTTCATCACAAGGCCTGCATATTATTCAGTCGAAATCAATGCACATATTCTTCTTTATTTAATATTATTAGTTCATGAAGGCAGCTTACCATTAGAATCATTACAAATTCCATTGTTTAGCAATCAATCGTGTGAAAGTATTTTTAGAAGTTCCAGATCTTTAACTGGAACACAGTCAACAATGGTCAATTTCACTGTGAAGGGTAAATTTTCTAAGAAAATACCATCAATACGATAAAATAATATAAAACTCTGTCATTTTTGGAGTTTTAGTCGACGGAAACACTTGCACCGTGAGAAAAAGGCTTCTCTCATTTCTGATTGAATATTCAAAGTTCATTTTTAGGACTGTTTATTTGACAAAGATTAGAATCAGAAAAAAAGAACGTTCCTGATTTAATTTCATTAAATTTTAAGGCTCTAATTTATAATTGACTAAATTTATCATTATTTGTATGGGATGGAGTCAAATATGTCTTTTGAAGGTGAAGGATAATACTTCAACGACTCTATTCATTAAGAAAGCTCTTATAAAGAATTCACTTTAGAAAATACCGTCAGTATTGATTAGTGGTACTCTTACTGAAACTTGGGTACCACCTTAGTACGGAGTTTCTGTACTTATCATGCATTACTGGATGTTTCTTGAGTACGCGTATGTAGCTTTTATGCATTCTAGTGATATACGAAAAATATTTATGAACCAATATTTCATCCATCCTTATTGTATTGCATTTGTTTCATTCAAATATAAATTTAATTGCAAAAAATGAAGACGTAAATAATAAATGCGTGAGAGAGAATAATAAATAATAGAACTAAAGCTATCATATTATCTTCACATGTGTTTGAAGCAAATAATAGAGGTACAGAAATTCTAATCGTTACAGAAGGGTATGAAGTATTCCCCTTTAAGATAAAATTCTATTTGTTAAAAATATCATAAATAAGATAAATTTTCGAAAACAAGAAAATTTATTTTTAATAAGATGTACAATAAACAAAGAATTGTAAAGCTGCATAATCACTTATTCCACATTATTAACAATCATTTGTATCCAACAATTCCGTGACTCTTTTGTATAATTTTGATAAGAAAATTTCTTTTTTTTTTTATGATTTTACCTTTTCGTTAATATTCAAAAAAAATAAATGAAGCTGTATTTTTATGATCCAAAACAAAGAGAGCTAAAAATTTCTTCATCAAAGATAAAGACTTAATCTTCATCTCATGAAGTCAGACTACAATAAATGAGAAGAAAAGTCAAAAATAAAAGTATTCTCAGCAACACAGATTTTAAAGTGCGAATAGATTTAGTATCAATTATTACATAAAAAATGCAAGTACAATTTTTTTTTCATTAATCATTAATAGTAATCTCTAAATAACTTATGAAGAAAAGCAACAAAGATAAAATTATTTATTTGCATTTGTATCCAGGTGTCTTTAAGATAATAAATTGGAACCGGCTTGTAACATGTATTGTGAGTTCATTTTGTGCCATGTTATTTTAAGAATCATTTTAAAAATTTATATTAATGAAAAATTTTTTATATAAATTTAGAAAATTAAATTTGAATAGATCTCTATTAATACATAAACAGATATTAAAACCCACTTGATACTTAAAAGGTTTAAAATGAAAAGTCGCTTTACTTTTTTCAATCAATTACTATTCGACTAAATTGTATAAATGATTTATCAGCAAATAATAAAGGACAAACTAAATAAGCTGTTAAAATAGTTTCTTTCAATTTTCTGTTATATCATATCTACTTTACTTACTACATGATCTCAGTCTATTTGTGTAAATGAAAATGCATGTTTTCTTGAATATGCTACCAAACAACGAATGCAAATACTACAGTTGTGTGTTCACATCACTTTCTAGAACTAAATTTGTACAGGAAACCTCATATGAGTATTCGTCAAAGTCCATGAAAAGTATTCATGTATATAAAAAATGTTGGATGGCTTCAACTAGTAATTTGAGTACTGGTATTAGGACATCATGCTCACTTGATGAGTATCTTCACCAGGATATTCTATATTTTTTGACATATATGGCTAGGCAGACAACTTTCCTTTATAGTCCAAGTGTTATTTTCTTCAAATTTCTCTCCTTTAGATTTCTTGCATCGAGCAGAAAAATTAACAATATTACAAAATATCAAAGCTCTTGAAGATCAAACTCAACACTATCAACTACAATTCCCTAAACATCACAAGCATAAAAAAAACAATGAAAAGATTGTAGTATTTAATCAGAGTCTTAATGTAACTGAAATTGAAACAATAGTCTTACAAGCTTTTGCACATGCAAAAGAACTTGTATCTAAATTGGATATAAATATATTATTAGAAGAATATAATCTATTGGAATTAGAAGCATTAAGTGTTGAAACATACAATAGCTTGAAGAAGTCAAATCGAGTTATCGACTCAGCAACATCGAACACGTTCACAGATTCTGATTCAGATAATGACGATAATGATAACTTTAATAATAATGATGATAATGATGACTTTAATAGTATTGACGATAATGATGATTTTAATAATAATGATGATAATGATGACTTTAATAGTATTGATGATAATGATGAAAATCAGTATGGAATTTCAATGATAAATGATGATGATGATATACCAGATAACATTCTGCAATCAAATAGAACCGATTTTTCTGGTATGCGAGTATTTGATTCAATTGATCAAGCACAAAAAAACTCATATTTTAATGTTGAAATTAATGGCAAAAAAAAATTTCTACATAAACAAACAGCATGTTGGTATTTGACGGAAGGAAAAGGTCATTTATCTAGCGACCGTCTGTCGCGTGTGAAACAAATGAGTAGATAAAACTTTTAAAAGCATTTTTTTGTACATTTGTATTTTTGTATAAATTTTGTTCATCTATGGTTCAGTCCAGTTCCCATCCATTGTTTCATGTAGCAAAAAGTTAGATGATTCATGTGAAACAAATTTTTATAAAACATATTTTTCAAAATAAGAGAAAAGATGTGAGCAATTGAGAATGTTTTATTGGTCAGAATACGTTATCATATATCATCCGCGAATTTGATTGTCATATAATCACATTTTTTCTTGTATCAACTATTGAATAGGTTCATTAACAATGAAACAATAATATATTTCATTTGATTCAACGCGCATAAGTATAGCATGTTGCTTAGTAAACCAAGATAAACCTTTTTTTTGGACATTAGCTACTTTATCAGAACTTTTGAGTCATGAGTGAAATTATTGCCGTCAAGAACCGACTTTTATTGAAGAGAGTTTTATTATTCTCGAATAATAAGCGACCTCATTTGATTTTTTTTTATCGCTTCCCAAACGCACCCTCTAATTTTCGAAAATTTGAATATGCCATGTTAGAAAACACCAATAAACATAACTAGAACTATTAACGAATTTAAGTTTATTAACAAGTATTTTGACAAAAAAATATGTTGCATTATCATCATTGTGACCATTGGTTTAACGAAAAACAGTCGATTGACTTTTCTTGATCAATTGACTAGCTCACAACAGGATACAGTATATAAGTATAATACGACAAGTTTGTGTGCACTCATGTGTACTAAAATTTTTCGATTTTAGCGTTTGAAGTAATTTCAAAATCTGCATGAATCACGATGCTCGAATTTATCTACTAATGTCTAACGACTCTATCACTGCCTACGCAAAGCTAAAAAAGCAGATTTCTAAAAATTTTTAAAGATTTCCAAAGGTTTCCAAAGATTTCTAAAGATTTCCAAAGATTTCTAAAGATTTCCAAAGATTTCTAAAGATTTCTAGAGATTTCCACAGATTTTACGGGCTAAAATCTGCTTTTTCCCCCTTGGGTGGGTGCGGGTATCGGTGTGGGAGTGGGTGTGGGGGTGTGGATGGGTGTAGGTATGGCTATAGGTATGAGTCTAGTTTTCCCACTCATCAACACCCACATCCACACTCACACTCACACCCACGCCGCCCATACCCACACCCCTTCATTAAATTGATATGGCTTATTATTTAATAAGAGATACAGTCTTTCAAAACTGTTGTTTCTGAACATTTACAAAATAATGAAAATTTCCATAAAAATAAAAATTTTATTAAATAAATTAAAGATAAATGCTTTCCCACTGTTTCTCTATAACGAAAGTAAATTTTATCTCAATATATTAAGCGAGATAATTTTAATTTTTCAATTAGGGTGTGGGTGTTAGTGTTGAGGAGTGTGTGCAAGAAAAGAAGACTCACACCTGCAGCCCACCCGTATCCAGAGGATAGCTTCTTTTAACTTCCTATGTTATCCAATGGATAATCTAAAGCGAATTATGGTCAGTTTTATTTCAAACCATGATACAGTCATAGACATAAAAATAAACAATATTTCGAGTACAAGAAAGATATCCTCACTCACAGATTCTCATAACATCCATTCTTTTATTCCTTTTTCATGTGTTTTAAACATTTTTATGTATATAGTGTCGATTTTTTAGAAAAGTAATTATATATTTTGAGAGTCCTAGAAATACTTTATCACTCTATATATTCAGATTTTGGCTTGAACTTCTTTGATGAGAGGTACTTCGAATATTGTCAATGTGGTGAAAGTGTCTTCATTGTACTCGAAATATTGTTCAGCAAGTAAATTCAAGTCAAGACTTAAATACATAGGATGACAGAGAATTTTGAGCGCTACCAGAAAATATAATTACTTTTCTTAAAATGTCATTTTATATTGGCGATATAATTCTACTGATCTAAACGATCAGATCGTATGTTCTAATCTAATATTTAATTGTTTAGTCGTATCATCCTCGTGCCGTTGGTGTACCTAATTCCGAAGATGATTACATCGTCATTAATGACGATGACAAGCAAAATGGAAGTTGATACAAATATCGAAAATACAAACAATTCTCAAACAAATACCAACAACAACAACAATGATTGGAAATCTCGACGAGTTGCATCATACATATCTCGTAAATGGTGATATTATTGATAAAAATGTTGATCGTCAAATTGATAGTTCTACTATTCTTTCAAATAATAATAGTAATTCAAATCAAGGTACTGAAAATGTTGAATCTGCACATATGGATTCAAATGACTTTGATACTTGGCTTGCTGATTGTATGTTTCAAAATACTCATAAACCCTTTGCTTATCTTGATTTAATTGGTGTTGATATGAATGATATTTTTGGTTCATGGGATGAACCCATGGACGTTGATTTTGATGCAAGGAAGAAACGGCGTGAGGGTATGGATGTGAATGTGTGGGTGTGGGTGTAGATCTGTTATTCATTCACACCCACACCCACCCACACCCACCCACACCCACACCCACCCACAC